AAGAACTTGAAGAATGGATGGTATGTGAAATACAAACAAAGAATTTTTGCAATTGTCTAAGGCAGTATTGTTGAGCAATTTTTCTCTACCCCTTTATTCTGCTTTATTTTCTGTTGATGCTTACCACTGCTGATACTATATTCTCTGTTTGCCTGCTTACTTATTTATTGTACATCTTCACTAGAATGCATGATCCATGATGGTCTAGGTCAGTGCTGTTCCACAGAAATATGGTGCAAGCCACATATGTATTTTAAATTTAAATTCTATCTGTTTAATTTCTAGTAGCTGCAATAAAGTGAAACCTAGGAAGTTCTTTTAAACTCACTAATCTAAAATATTTCATTTCTCAATATAAAAAATATTTAGATACTTTACATTTTTTTTCATATGAAGTCTTTGAAGCCCCATGTGCTCTTCACACTTACAACTCCTCTCAGTTTAGACTTGCCACATTTCAAGTTCTCGTGGCTACTCTGTTGGACCGCTCAGGTCTAGTTCAACTCCATGCCTAGGAATGGTGCCGCGCATACCCCAAAGCACTCTGTAAAGCCTTGTTGAACTAGCAGATCCTTATATCTCAGACATAAAAAAACAACCAAGATGAAAAGTTGTATATCACCTTAGATCTTTTTTGCAGCTGTTGAGGTATTGGTAACGCTGGTTACTTCAGTGGTCTAATTTAAAAGGTTTGTTTGTTGGCTGATGTATTGGTTTCATGGTGATGTTACAAGAAGTAACCAGTAGGTTCTTGAAAATTTTTTTCATGGAATGTTAGTTTCAATTCTTAGTTTTAAAACCATCTAATAAAAGCAACTAGGAGAAAAAGAAAAGCTTGATGGATAGCATTCATTTCTAATTCCATTGCTGCTAGTGATGGCTGACTTGGGTGAGGGACATTGCAAAAGTTGTTTAATGTCTTTGAGCCTTTGTTTTCTCATTTGTAAAAGAGGATTTCATCCATCATACCTGTCTTCATAGATTAAATGAGATTACAAATTTACATACTCCAGCACAGTGAGTTTTCAAGCAAGAATAATTGCTTGAAAATGGCAGCAATTATCATTACTATGATGTAATAACAATTGAACTTTTAAATATTAAGATGCCTTGAGCTTCATTTTAAACATTTTAGGTCATACGCTTATAAATTTTAGACCCTTAACGTACTGGTTAAACTGCTGTCATAGATCTGGATTTGAAGTTTATTATGCAACTTGCTTGCAGATTAATATTTCTGGTTCTCAGTATTATCATCTGTGAATTGGGAAAAAAGAGTCTTCCTAATCATTGGGCTTAGCAAATAATAAAAGCTCAAATATTTTAGCTATTATTCATTCAATCATTCAAAAAATTCAGTGTTTTGTTATTTGTATGTTCATCACATGCTCATGGTTATTTTCTTAAAATAGTTAAACTTCTCATTCTTTTTCATCTTGCTTTGATTTTGCACATAATTTTATAACATTAAGTGGTATTAAAATTTACATTAGTGCAGCCAATTACATGCATTTAACACTATTCATCTTTTCCCTCTTGGCATATTTTTTGACCACCTCCTGGTATGTCTTATGGAAAATAGGATTTGGATTTAAATTATGGGCATGAAATTGTGCCTCTCTCATTTTTGGCCTGCTTGTTCCAACTTTATTCAAAAAAAAGTCAAAACTAAATTGGTGGTCATTAAAACAGAAAGTTCTGTATGTTTTATAGGAATATTCTTTCTTCACTAGCATATGTGTCCCAGCAGTCACCTTTTAATGAAGTGTTATTGATCTCTTAAATGGGAGTGTGTGTTCAAACTGAGGTGAAACTGTTCATTTGGCTCCTAATTCTGTGATCAAGATACTATACATGTAAGTTTTCTAATGAATCATTAAACTTTTCTATGTCAATTCAGAAATAAGATAGGGTTTTGAAGTATTTTAAGGAAATCATAAGTTAGCATGTTTTTGGTCTTCAGTATTACAAAAAAATTGCTTTTCAAGGACAGTTTAAATGGTTCAGATCATATTCTGCTTTATACTTTGCTTCAGTCAATAACAATGTTCTGTCAGTTTTGTCTCGGAAATGTCTGTCAAAAGCATCCTCTTAAATCTATCTGCATGTCTCCTGTCTTAACTCGGTTTTCATCATCTCTTACCAGTGGATTGAAAGAGTCACTTAGTGAATTGGCATTTGGGGAGGGCCTTAATCCATTTGGGCTACTATAACAAAATGCCACTATTGGGTAGTTTATAAACAACAGAAATTTATTTTTCACCGTTCAGGAGGCTAGGAAGTTCAAGATCAAGGTGCCAGCATAGTCGTCTGGTGAGAGCCTACTTCTTGATTCATAGCTAGCAGTTAACTCACTGTGTCCTCAGTGGTAGAAGGGTTAGGGGAGCTCAATGTGGTCTCTTTCATAAGAGTGTTAATCCCATTCATAAAGACCCCAGCCTCATCATCTAAGACTTCCCAAAAGCCTCACTTCCTAATCTCTTGGGGTGAGTATTTCAACATATGAATTCTGGGGAGACACAAACATTCAGAGCATACCAGGGAACATCCACTCAAGGCTAGTGATGTAGTGATGTACAAGATCAGCGCCATCTCTGCTTTCATGGAACTTACTCTTTCCTCTTGCATTAGGCTCTTATCTGTCTTTCAATCTTTACCTTGTCCCCCTTGCATACTATCTTCTACATCATCTCTACCCAAGTCTGTTTCTTAAAACCCTTCAATGGGCTTCATTGCCCAAAGATTAAATCCCAAATTCCTTACCATTTATAAGGCCTTATAATATGGTCTCTTTGGCAAACCCCTTGCTGTTGAAATAACTTTCTTCAGATTTAGTATTTGAAACCTATAGCCTTTGAGACTCAGTTCAGAAGTCACTTTCTTTGTTTCTGTCCCCACCTTCCTTTGATGGGGTCCATGTCCTGTGAACACCCACAGCACTATATGGACCTCTCCTATGGTAGTCATGCAATCCCACATATCCTACTTTCTTCATTTGACCTTGAAGAAATGAATGAAACCCCTAAAAAGGATCCAAAAAGTACACAGCTCTGACAATATCCAAAGAGTATCTCTATCTCTATCTACTTCAGTCTTTCATCCCATACTTACTAAGCATTAGCCATGAAGCTGGAACTCTGTGGGTTCTATATAGCAAATAGTCAATAGCTGTGTTCTCTGCCATTACAATTACTACTTTGAGGATAAATTAAATAATCAGAACTTTCTGGTTAGTTATTTGGAGAATTATGCTTTGTAAAGCCACAGGTATTAAAGATAAAAAGCTATTTTGTATTTTAAGCCATAGGAAACTTGTCCAGGTCTGCCTCTCACTTCGGACTGTATTTTTGCCTGTGTGGTATAAAGCTTTTTCTGTCAGTCCGAAAGTCAAGTATCATAGTTTTAAGGAAATCACTGTGAGGTGATTTCTGTGTATTCATTGGACAATTCATATAGTTTCTGGGATGAATCATAGGAAAGAAGCAGTGGGAAAGAAGGGTTTTAATTCTGGTATCCTTCCCTCTTAGTTCTTATTTTTCTTGGACACGTTTTTAATGGACATAAGACTTCCATTGGTTTTTTAGTGAATTTTATGTTTATATTTGCAAAGAAAAGCATTCATTTTTTTCCTCTTCTTTCCTTTTTTTTTTTAACTAATTACTCTTGAAAACATTTCTTCATCTCTCCATCAGTTGATGTCGAGTTTCATGTTAAGAACATAGAATATGTTACATAATAGGACAGGAGTGATGATCTCTCTCCTAATTAGTTAGGGTATAAATGGATATACAGGATGCAAACAAGAGCATAGTTAGTCAAGCAAGCAATTGATTTCCCAGATTATAAAAATGTGTCAGCTTACAATTGAAAGCAAAAGACACAGAAGATACAGATTTTTGAAAGTAGATGAATTTTTATATGTGGCCTTTCCAAGCATTCTTCTGAATCGGAGGAGGAAAAATTACTTTGTAAGTTGGAGAGGCAGTGCTTTGTCTTTAAACTTAAGAACTTACTCTTAAGTGATGTCACAGTTCACATCCATGATGTGTGCCCACCCTATATATTAGGCTGACATTTTTCTCACTCTCAAGCTACATACTGGAATTTTAAATGCTAGAATTGTGCAGATTCATAGAGAAACTATGGCAATATAAACAAGCACCCAGATTATATTGACAGTGGCCTTGTAAATATACATTTTTTCATGCTTCATATTAACTAAGATATTTTTTAAGTTGAATCTACTTTGCATAAACTGTTAAAAACATAGTAATCAGACATAAGTATCTGTTACTTGAAGTTAAATTGTGAAAGGCTTTGGATTTATGCTTTATTATTTTAGAGGATATTGTCACATACTATTGTGCAGAAATGGATAGCCTATCCTAGAAGTAAAAGTTATTCTGATTCTTTACTTCTGTGGGTTAAAAACCACCAGTCGAAATATAGTCTGCAAAATATACTGCAAATACATGTGAGAAGTCAGTGAGCAATGCTGAAACTTAACAGATATGTTGAAAAAAATATAAAACATATAGCCACTGGATTGAGAAAATGAAAATTAATATGTGAATGTTTTAGCTAACACTGTGCTTTGCCTGCAGGACCGGGTGTTTACCATTGTGCCCTTTAGTGGGAGACGGAAGCAGTATCAATTGGAAAAATGTTTCTTAGTGGACTGAGAACAGTATGGCTATCTAATTCCTAAGTGGGAAACCTGGTTCTTTGGTTTCTTTGTTCTAGTTAAGCTAGTCCCAAGATATTTTAGCTGAACATTTTACACACGAATGGAGTCTAGGGAAGTGCCTTTGGCAGCTGTTCGGGGGATAATAATGAAATATACTATTTAGAACTGCGCACTGCCACTGTACAGTGTGGGGAGTATTGTATGGAGGACTTGGTGAGCAGAGCTGTATCCACTTTAAGTTTAACACGTGTGTGAACCTGAGTGAGGAAGTTTTATTTTCATATGAAAATAACAAAGTACTCTTTTCTTACAGGTAAAGAAAACGTGTACAGAATCAGATGTTTCAGAACCTCAGAATTCCAGGTATAGTAAAATAGAGGCCAAGACTCCACTAAGGAAAAATGAAGTTTTGAACTAGTAAGATGTTATAGTATACTCCAGATACAAATGAGATTTGAAACATTGAGTTTCTTTAAGACCTTTTCTGA